CCAGAAGATTAGAACGTTTTGAAATGTAAATATGACGAAGACTGGAGAAGACTAATTTGACAGATTTGTGCTTAAATACTAACAAACATACATATTTCTACTTCAGAGCTTCTTGACCAAGCTAGTTCCCCAGTAGCACAGCGATATGTCTACAGACTTACAACGCTAGAAAACGGGTTTCGATACCCGTGGTGGGCAGAGCACAGATAGCCCATTGTGTAGCTTTGTGCTTAACTTCAAACGAATAATGACCAAGCTAAATTAGGAAACATAACTATAAGCCTATTGACCCTTAACGGTCCGTAACCAGTTACTTTAAAAACAAAGGTTTTGACGGTTCATAGGTTGGAAAGGGGTGGAAACATCCAGTAGTTAAATTTTAGTAGAAGCTGTAAACAAGCTAACTTCTAACAAAAATTTTGCTAGTCCGTGGAGTGAAAAAGGCAGATAACACCAGGTAGTGTTCAGTAGAAGTTGTAAATGAACTAAACTGTAATAAATGTTTTTGCCGGTTAAAAGTCCCACTTCGCAACGGATTTATGTTATCCCTCACTAATCAACACGGAACTCGTGTTCAATTAGTGCTTCATAGAATCTTATTTTACGACTTATGCTTGAGTGATAGCGATACAGTTCTGCTTTAAGTTAATTGATTATTAAACTTTTAGATACGTGAAGATTAAATGCACTTTTATTTTTTGCGTGAATTGTAATAATAGTAATAATGTACATCAGCGCTTTGCCAAATACATTTATTTATTTTATTTCTTATTTTTTAGTTTTCTGATGCTCAGTATATACGCAGAATAATACTTTCAATGTTGTTTAACGAGCCCTAACGAGCTCTTTATCATTTTGCTTACATAACTACTAAATTAACGCTCGTATGTATTAAGGAACTTGCTGAAGATCCAGTGTTGTTTCACGAGGGCGCCACTAGATTTGATGTTGTCCAGGGAGAGCTTGGTAAGTTAATTAGTTACTAGTTATTAGTCCATCTTGTTGGATTAAATGATAACTTTAAGATGACAGAAAGTATCTTGTGTATTTAAAAATTAGCGTGTTCTTTATTTTATGATTTTTAAACTTTTTCAACATACTAAACTAATTTGATGTCTTAAGATTTTGATATTTAGGGAACTATACGATTTGTATGTGTTTAACCCTAGAATTACCCAATCGGCTTTTTAAACACGTTTTCTTAAACTACTTAGGCACGAAATTGTTTGTGGGTTCATGATTTTTGTTGTAAGGCTCATAATAACAATCATATTGTTTCGTTATTTTGCTTGATTTATGCGCAAAAACTAAACAAAGTAGGCTATTTGCGCTGTAGGCACCGTAGGAATATAACCCCGAACTGTAGCGTCATAAGCCGTCAAGCTCACCGCGAACTCAGTGAGGGACGATTATTTGCACACATACATGAAAATAACAATAAGAAACGAGAGTATTATCAATATTGCAATTAATCCTACTATGAAAAAATCACCCACCTTCTATATAATGTACATAGAGAATGAATGGTCTCATCCAAACAATAACATGTAATTTTTAGTTACAAGAAAATGAGACGTCCTTAGTTGTTTTTTTGTTGTTGAAAAAGGACAAACATAAAATAAATTCAATATACTAATATCTTGTGTTTAGAGTTGTGAGTTTTATCTACTCCAATACACATGTCAAATCCAATTTTGTGCATAGCTATGTTAGCTATACACATGGCATATCCTGTCATAACGTTATTCGAAGTTGAAAAAAAAAAAGTTTAACGGAGTGTGAACCTGCTTGTGGGAACGAAAATAAGTTAGCAAGTAGGTGCTTCAACATGCTTCTAAAATAAAAAGGGGGCGAAGCTAACCATTAGTTCGTGCGCTCTATGACTGTCATAAAGAAATTCGCAATGTCGAACTATTTTTAAAAGTCTTCTGATGCTTACAGAGAATCTTTCTAGTTTTACCCTACTCTTTCTTTAGTGTATGACCCCTTCACACAGCTGTTAGTAGCGTCATTATACAGCAGAGAATGACGATATTTAGTTAGAATATAATCATGAACGTAGAACAAGCTTCATTGTTGCATACCACTTGTTTGTTTGTTGAATTTTTGCGCACAGCTGCTCGAGGGCTAGCTGTCCCTAATTTTGAACTGTTAGACTAGAGGGAAGTCAATACTACCCACGGCCAACTCTTGGGCTGATATTTACCAAGGACTAATTGGATTGACCGTCACAATATAACACCCCCATAGTTGAAAGGGCTCATCAGTTTCAAATTAGAACGTTGTGGTCTCTGAACTTATCGCTTAGCCCATTTATCACATAAGATGTCATTCAAGTTAAAAATAACTCAGCAAAACGCCCACTTATTGTTTTTCAAGGATTACTCAAAAAACAGCCTTTTCTGTTGGCCTTTCGGTCGTCTCGAGTCTTGAGTCACAATTCCGCTATCCAGCTGAAAGCTGTTGTATTTAGGGATTATGTGGTTAATTTAAATGTCTAGCTAAAATGTTACAGGAACTGAACTACTTATTTCTTACTTTAAATCATATTCCATAGATATATTCTGCATGTTAAGTTTAATTATACGGCATTGCAATAAAACAAACAGCGATTGTTTTATAAATTACTAAATATTTTCATTTCTCTCGTTCGAAAGATTCAAATAAGAATAAAATAATACGAGTAGAACATGTCGAAATTCGACCAAATATATAGAGTTGCGGTATTTCACTCAATTGACATTCTTACATAACCATACAAAATGGAATATTCCGCCACCAAGATATGCTCTTTTGAAAGGTTCTTTTAAAAGCAAAAACCATCTCTGGAAATATTGGTACTGTGAGTACTCACCCATCTTGAAAGATGTTAATTAGTCATCTCTATCTATGCACTCATTAACAGCAGAATGACTCTAAAACATCCTTCCATCAAAGGTTTGAATTAGTCACACTTCTTAACAGAATTCAACAAAACCTTGAAATTCTAAACAAAATTTTAGAAAATTACACAATATACCTATTTGAAACTCGAAAAAAAAGCATGTTCACTTATATTTTTCTTAAAATATAAAACTATAGCATAAATTCACATGAACAGTGCTCTGAAAACTGGCTTTGAAAGATCACTTGATGCTACATCATTACAAGAAAATTATAATTTAAAAATCTTGTAGTAGAAAAGTGTTTTTGTCAAATTCTAACAACATGTACACACGGAAATTAACATGCATCCATAAGAGTCACTCTTAGTAGGCCTTACACATATACATATTATTGCTTTTTGTATATTGCTTTTTTTTCTTTGTATTCGTGGGCAATGGATGGACAGACGTCCATTTTCCCAAGTTATATTATTCTGCTAGTAGAACGTGTTGAAATTTGACAAAATATATAGAGTTCTGGTAGTTCAAGCCTCGGTCTAAAACTAAGGACTATCAAATTCAGTTTGGAAAAATTGTTTACAAAACCTCCTTGTAAACAACATTTTCAATATTTGCATCTTCAGAAAGAAAATTTTTTAAACGATCAAATTATTGTACCCTGGATAGAGGGAGCCACGTAGAGCTGACTGAGGAAAGTGCAACCTCGTTTTTCCAAATTATATTATTAGTTTGGTAAGATCATTGCTACAAAAGAAAAACGAATCGGATGATGAACAGATGTGATTTTTGGTGTGTTTCTCATTTTTTTAATGGTTAATATTTTTCAATTATTCAAGTTATGCTTTTCTCATTACGAATCACAGAGTTATAAATATGACTTTGAAGAAAAGAAACGAATATGTTATCGAAATATTCTTTGGCAATCTCAGTGTAAAGTAGAAGAAACTTGGAAACATAATTTTGATACCATACCAATTAACAAACATGAAGCATGTAGATAACACAAATACACATATTGTTGTAATATTGTTCTTTCGTTGGGGTTTTAAATTATCTGGAGAAAATATTTCAAAGTTCAGTCCATGTAACAATAATAAATTAGTTTAATTCTTCGTTAACGTTTAACAGCTTGAACACTGCTGTAACTTGTATGCCACATTTATAGTAATGCTAACTGTACTATACTAACGTAAAAATAAACTCACTACACACAATAGCTAACACAGGTCCAAAAACTTAACTAAAAACAAAACTCGGACTGAAATTAAAACACACTGACTGATTCACTCTGCTGGCTAGAAACAACTATCTATCTTCTCTATGCTTCACTAGACCTCGTATTTATAGCATACTCTCGAATTTAATAAATAATCTGACGTCAAAGTTTTTAGAACTTTCTAAGCCTACATTATTAAACTTTTTTATCTTAACGTCATGTACCTACTAGTTAACATCTAAATTACAGCATTAAAAATATAGCTAATAACAATTTAAATGCATTCCTGTTATATCTCAGAGAACAGATTGATTAAGAGGTGAGAATTGTCTATTACAATGATATTTAACAAATGAAAATAATGTATTTTAACATTACTAACTTGAGCTTATAATTGAAATGTCATAACTTTCAGGTGATTGTTGGTTATTAGCTGCTGTGGCTAACTTAACCTTGAATCAGGGACTTTTCTACCAGGTAGTGCCAGATGACCAAAGTTTTAGTAGTGACTACGCGGGTATTTTCCATTTCCGATTCTGGCAGTATGGTCGCTGGATTGATGTTGTAATTGATGACCTATTGCCTACCTATAGGGGGCGTCTTGTATTTATGCACTCCACTGAGAAGAATGAATTTTGGAGTGCTCTTCTAGAGAAAGCATACGCAAAGTAAGTACCACTAGTAGTACAATAAACTTTTACTTTAAATAGTCTGTAGACACTTTCTGCACGTTAAGGACAACCATATAGAAATGAAATAACAAATGGTGATTTTCTTGTAAATTACCAAATAGTTTCTTATTCGTATTAATCGGAATTTTAAAGAATTGATATTCATCTATTCTGCTGTCAGATTTTATAGCCTTTATATAACTCCGTGACCAGGATTTAATCACTGCGTAAGCAGTGGTGATTTGTATCTTCGATTCCTCTAGACTATTTATCTTTTGTGCTCTTTGTGAGATATAGTCCAAGAGATGCTTCTGTATTATGGTAGGGACTTTGGCAGAGAGGAGGAGAGCCAGATTTACTGCTTGTAAAGTCAAATATAAAAATGTCTGTAAAAACATCTCCCTGTGTAATAATGATAAATTTTTTTCTGTACTTGAAGCATGTCTTTTGGGATAGTTGTGTGATATGCAGACATATCTATATATTTTACCTTCTTTAGTAACAGAGATATTTTAACAATTTTTCGGTTATTTAGCTTTCGTGCTGTAATCGCGGCAACATGTGGTCCAGACAAATGTTACGATAACCTTGTTCTTGTTGCTTTGTTTCTTTATTCTCTGTAACTTGGCGACGTATCTTCTATCTGCAGAGATTTTGTAGTAATATGTGTATTATTCGGGTTAAAAGGATTGGCACTGGAATATCTTTTGCTGGCTGATCAAGACTTTGACTGAATGCAACAGCCTGCCAAAGCTGTGAGGGAACGAAGGTCAGGAGATGATGCTGCAGACTGTACAAAGAAAGCGAGTTTACCTGTTGAATTCAACCAAGCTTTCTTTCTTCCGTTCTACTTGGTTTTCGTCGTGACTAATTCAGCAGTGATTCATTTTTAGGGATGAAAAGCTGTTCAATTATTCAATAGAGGGGGTTGTTCACTTATCTATGCAGACACACACATTGTTTTCTTTTTATTGTGTCTAAACAAAGATTATTTTCACTGTCTTTTAAATGTGTCCAATTTCTTTATTTCTCACGCAACTCGAAATTCAGTCAAGTTATCAACTACAGAATTATTAATCACATTATTTTTTGATTGAATCTCCTGTTATTGCTGAGTTAACTGTCCGCTACTCGTAGGGAAATCTGTTTTACTTGAAAATACCACACCTGTAATAATTATCAAATATATCTGTATAGTCTCAGTAGACTATATTTGTTTAGACCAATACTCCTTCAATTCACTTGAAGAAATACTTTAATTGGTCGAGTTTTTCTTTATAACGTTTAACACACTTCTATATTTTTTATTTTCCCAGATGCTTCAGAAAGAGTTTCACATCCACAGCGTCATTTCCATGATGCTAAAAATGTAAAACATGTCTCAAATCAAAAATTGGGGAATGCAGGGCTGTGCACAGGAATTTAAATTTGACCGCTATTGGAAGGGGGGAGGCACATTAAACACATATATTATATGTATGTATGTATAAACCATATTAAAACAAGCATATAAATAATATGCATGAAAATAAACATCGTTACACTCGCCAAAATGACCAAGTCCCTATACATATAGTTATTGGGGAGCGGTCCCCTGCTCTACCCCTTTGTGCACCCCCCTGGGAAAGCAAGTAACCACAAGGTATGTCTTACTGTAATCAACAATACAAATATTACTGCACGTGTTAATCCCACGCTTCTCAAACTAGAAAACTCAATGTTTATTGGTGCACAAACAGTGAGTATATACAATGTAGTATGCAAATATTACACACCTTAATCTTCTAAAAATATATTTCCTATCTACAAAATTCTTACATTTATCCTAATTCCTAATTTTAGAGATCGTGTGCAACATTTAGCCTGAGGTGTCACTTTTTGTAGCTTGACTAGTTAAGTACTTCATCTGTTGTTTCATGGGATAGTTGCATTGTGTCTTGCTTAACATTTTGTATCGCTGGCTACCTTTGCGATTGTCACATGGAACAGAGATATGAAATATGTCCGCCTCCACTGCCTGTTTTCTGATTGGCCGGCTACAGTGAGAAACTTTGTGAATATAGTTTTGGCTCTTTCAAACCAAATTGATTATAATTTTTGAAGAATACAGACTTGTCAAGTTTTTTATCCTCAAGGAGCCAAGACTTGCTGGTGATGTTTTGCCCATGCGTTAATCTTTTATTTATTACGTCTGTTGACCCTATGAGTTTACTTAACCTTTAAGTTCAGTTCATTTTACTTTTCAGTTAAACTTAACACAATATCCCCTACAAACTGCAAGATCAACCAACCTTCGATTCTTCAGTAAATAAAGTGTCTTATTTTATTGCTTCAAACTTCAACACCATGTCTTGTCTTTTTCAAACTACTTACAACAGATTATTGCACTTTTTTCCTTCCACATACTAAATATTCGAATCTTTTGTTTTTTGCGAAAATCTGGTGATTGTGCGCAGATATAATACTGAATTGCCACAACACAATAACCTAATTTTCGTTACATTTATAAATTAATAAAAACTTAATCCCTAAACAGTACACAGTAAACAAATACATCCTGTTACATAGATTAACAACAGGAAGTTTTTTTTCCACACCAGCATTCCAAAATAATAATAATAATATAAAAGCATGCCATTATGTATATATTTATTAATGTATCAGTTCAGCCAATCATGGCCTATCGGTCAACGAACTCAGTTTTATTTGTACTGAATCATATATAGTGAATGTCAAGACAGTTGTCTTAGAAATTAGTGACGTTATGAAAACAAAACAACAACAAACAAACGAGAATATGTATTATACATGTATGAGGGCGTTATTTTGAATATGTAAATCAGCAAGCTACGTCACAGCCACAGCCGATATAAAGTCGCGGTGGAATGAATGTATCAGAACTACATTTTGGGATTGTTTAGCGTTTTGTAGGTAGTTTAATGTTAGCGAAAATTGGACGTTTTTAGGAAGAATATGTAATAGTTATTTTGAATGCAAAATGTTCATACATCCAGATCATAAAGATGCATTCTGATCGGGGATTTCGAATTTCCAACATGGGATATCATTTGCGCTAAAAGACATTTAAAAAAAGAGAGAGAGAGAGTATGGATCTCTTTGTGGCATCAAGCCCATCCAGAGAGATATCCATAAGAAATCAAACTCCAGACGTGGTAAGCAAAGTGTGGCGTCTTGTAACAGGTAAGAAGCCTTGAACACAAAAGTAAGTGGCAAAATCTGACCACGTGCCCCAGGCAACAATACGTAACAAAACAGATCTCCATTTGGAAAGTAGGTCAAAAGGGTACGGCTTCACCAAGATAAGACTTCCAGTCAACCGTTGCATACCTCATGCAGCTGGAGAATGAAACGGGTTTTCATACTATTCCATACGAAGACATAACACTCAAGCCACCAAACGTAGCTCCTATGGATTCCTAGGTGATCTAACTATTGAAACGCGCATTAGGAGATTGTCTTCCTCATATACTAGCAAGCAGGGAGGAGTGGGATGGTTTGGACAACAGAGCCTTACGACGAAACCTTTTGCATTTCAATGTAAACTGCAGTCTATTGTAAAGATGTATGATAATCAAATAGAGCATATCTGGACGTGAGGTCGTGGACTTTAATGGAGTGGCGAAGCTTACAAAGTAGTTTTAATGTGACATACCCAATCTGTAGAATTGTTCAGATCAGACAATCTTCTTCCGATTATGAAAACAAACATGTTTTAAATTAACTCAAAAATACAGATATTTAGTAATTGCAATTAAAGACACTCAATTGTTTTTTTAATGCGTCACATTTTAGGTTTAGATCCACATTAGACCTTAGATTTATATATACTGATATTTGTTAATTATGTCTTAGCGACATTTTTTGTCATTATTTACTAATATTTAATGTGGGTATAATATGAGCAGTCTTGAAAGATCATTCCGTTCTTCTCATTGAACCTAGGAATTCCAATATGAGTCGCAGGTGAGAAATTCGAACTGTGCACACTGGTCAGTCTGTAATCAATTAGCGAGCTGATGGGTGAACGCTTGGTTTGTTTTTTGTTTTTGAATTTCGCGCAAAGCTACACGAGGGCTATATGCGCTAGCCGTCCCTAATTTAGCAGTGTAAGACTAGAGGGAAGGCAGCTAGTCATCGCCACCCACCGCCAACTCTTGGGCTACTCTTTTACCAACGAATAGTGGGATTGACCGTCACATTATAACGCCCCCACGGCTGAAAGGGCGAGCATGTTTGGTGTGACAGGGGTGAACGCTTGGCCAGATTGACAAGATTAAACTGTTTAGATAAGATGAGCGTGATAACCTGTTTAATTAATGTTGAGCAAGTAGAGTTAATTGAAAAGACCTTGATTTCATGAAGATGTTAAAACAGTTATGTAAATTCAGGAGAAATCTGCTGCAAACCTTGCTGTCAAATTTTAATTTTTTTATTAAACTTTTTGAAATTATTTATTTATTTTTATTTAACCTAATAAGTTTTCATTTCTACATTTTAGTTTCTTATATAACAGTAAAAACAGAAATATAATACTTACAGGTAGTGGGCAAAAAAAAGAAGGAAAGACCTAGATAAATGAGGGACAACAAGTATACGCAATGCAGAGGCTACCACACAGGTGTGGCTCGTACATTAATTAAGCAAATAACATCCCAGCATGCATAGGGTCATGTATAAAAATACTGAACAGGCCTGGTTGCCTATAATCAATTTGAAAGAGGGGTGATTGTTTGGGCGCGTTTGGCGGGAGCTTCAGTGACCGAGACAGCTAAACTTGCTGATGTTTCATGAGCAACGGTGTCTAAGGTGATGTTAGTATGGAACTCGGAGGAAAAGACATCACCAGCAAAGGGCAACAGTGGGCAGAAGCGCATACTCCAGGATCGTGATGTCCGTGCATTAATTCACATTGCAAGGGAAAACAGGTGAGCAACCACAAATCAATTGACTGCAAATTGAGAGCAGCCAATTTCATCAAAAACGGTCCACCGAGAACTCCACAAAATGGGATTTCATAATCGAGTTGTTGTGCACAAACCACTTAACACACATTACAATGCACGGTTGTGCGTCCAGTGGTGCAAAGATCACAGGCTATGGACTACTGAGCAGTGGAGAAATGTGATATGGTTTGATGAATTATCCTTCACCATGTTTTCGACAAATGGACGAGTGCACGTGTGGTGCCAACCTAAAGAACTCTGCAGCATTGGTGGTTCTGTAATGGTGTGGGTCACATTTTCCTGGCATGGTTTGGGTGAACTTATACCCTTAGAAGGCAAGGTCGGTGTAATCATTACTTAATGGTACTGAGTGATCATCTTCACACCATGTTACAGCATTTCTGTCCTGCAGAGAGGGGTGTCATTCAAGATGACAATGCCCCTGCCCACAGAGCACAAGTAGTCGCCCAATGGTTTGTGGAGCATGACACTGACATTATCCATATATCAGTCACCAGATCTGAACCCAGTCTAGCATGTATGGGATATTCTGGAAAGATGCCTGAGACAGCATTTTCCACTTACATCAACTAGACGTTAGTTGATTGACTTTTTCGTGAAAGAGTGGTGTTGTATTCCTCCAGCAGAATTCCAGACACTGGTAGACTCTATGCCATGGCGCATACTGGCCGCACGTGGTGGCCCAACACCCTATTAAGTGGATTTACATTGGTGTTTCCATTTTTTTTGCCACTGTCTGTACTTTGGTCTGTTGTTCTTCTGTTATACGACAGCTTTACCATAAGTATAGTTTACTGTAAACTTTACATTAAACTTGGTACATCACATAGGAGTAGTTAGAAAGCAAAGTGATATAGAGATCGGAAAGTCAGATAGATAAAGGACTTTTGATATTTGCAACAAAAATCTCTATTCGTCAATTCATAAGTGATTTTTATTTTTTTACAATTCCATTCACAACATGCGCGGCCTGGCATGGCCAGATGGTTAGGGAGCTCAACTCGCAATCTGCGGGTCGCAGGTTCGAATTTCCGTCCCACCAAACATGCTCGTCCTTTCAGCCGTGGGGGTGTTATAATGTGATGGTCAATCCCACTATTCGTTGGTAAAAAAGTAGCCCAAGAGTTGGCGGTGGGTGGTGATGACTAGCTGCCTTCTCTCTAGTCTTACACTGCTAAATTAGGGACGGCTAGTGCAGATAGCCCTCGTGTAGCTTTGCGCAAAATTAAAAAAACAAACATAAACACAACATGCAAAGTTTAGTGGTCTTTAAGCTGCTTAATACGTTTTAAAACATATCTGCGATGGGAATGAAGAGGCTTAATGGTTTTTCGCATGTAACAGAGAAGATGTCATAGATCACTTTGTAGTACATAACAAGAACAATCACACAGATTCTTTACCCTCGACCCATCATGCCTTTTCAAGGTTGCATGCATTTATATTGGATAGCGTAAAATTTCACCTCGAAAACTCAAAAACTCCAGAATGATCAACGATCCAGATCATTTTGTGTACTCTGATGAGGAGTCCCTACCTTAAAGAGATTTGGTACAAATCCGATCACATTTTACAAAGGTAAATTTAAGTTATTAACCGAAAACCATGAAAATTCCCTATCTCCCTATTATTAAAAGTGGTTCAAAGTGCTTCAGAATCCGGATTTGGATCCAGATCAAATTTGGAGAGTACTATCCCACACTAATTCTCATCTTGTGTAAAATTTTGTGTACATCGATTTATTAGTTTTCGAGATACGCGTGTGGAAACACAGACACACACACACACACAGACCCGATTGCAAAACCCTCGCAAGGCGTTGGTAAAAAGAGACGAATGGCAATTTCAGGGATCAACTGAACCTAATTCGCAAAGTGTACACCTAATGTGTTAATTTCATTTTGTTATGATTGGTGATGTATAGGTTGTTTTGGAAGTTATGATAGAACAAAATGTTTTCAATAGAATATTTGGCTCAAATTTGCCAAGTTTGCTTTAAAAGTCTAGATAATTATAAATAATGTAGAAATTATAACTTAACCCGAGTACAAACCATAAATGTATAGTGAACAATTTTTTAAATCAGTACTTAACTGCTTCTGTAGGTTAGTTCCATGAGAAGAGAAGCATGTATGATAAACTTGACGGTTGTGAGACTAGATTTGTAAAATCCGACTGAAATCACCCATGTTTTCCAGAATATGCCTATCCTATAAAAAAATTTTCTGAAATTAGTTCACTTTTTCAAGTACTACGATACAGTTGTTAGAGGTTGGGGGTCTCCTTAATTTTGTAATTGCTCTCCCCGAAGTTAAAATCCTAAATATGCCACCAAGTGTCAATATTGTATTCCAATGGGTGTGTAAAGAAGGCTGTGAATGTTCAAAATATTTCTTAATTAGTATCTAAAATTCTTATTATAACCTATTGAGCAAGACTGTATTTGATAGCAGTTATTAAATACGTGTATTTTGTAGTCTGTTCCAAACAGTTGTCTTATAGAAAGTTCAAAGTACAGCAACTACCACCTGTTATCATTTATTAGAGAGATGGCAGTGGAGAATAAGCGTCAAGATTCTAAAACTGAAATTTACGCTGATCTTAACTGAATGTGCACATTGGACCGACCCTGTACTGAAGAGGGAATGTTGACTATAATTCCAAATGTACTACGTGTATCAACATGTAATGTGGCAAGCAATGAAATGAATTGTACAAGTCTGTTGTACATAAAAAATTAGATGTGTTACAAAAGTATTTGTCCATCATACAGTTTGCATATTACATTTGCATAACTTCTAGAACTTCTGAAATACATATTTACAGTTGTTCAGTATCCTTGTGTATTGTATGTGGTACTTACCTTCCCTTATTATGAATTATCACTATGTCGGCAATATAGGGTAAAACAAATAGTTGATAACTCTGACATCAAACACAGAATATGTTGAATGGAACAGTGTAAAAAGTGTGGCATGCACACTTTGACAAACCCTACCCACTACATAGGGTTAATCTTTCACTGAGATTTAAAGTAATTCAGTCAGAAGCTCTTCCAGGCACTTTTTATTATACACCCAATTTTGTTAAGTTGGTTTTATAGTTTTATGTGCATAAAGGGAAAAAATAATTTACTTTACTGTTATAGAGAAAATTATTAAATCTGTTTTTCTTTAAAACCTTCAACAGGTGTTTCATAACAATTACAATACATCATCCATTTGGAGAATGAGCCAAGTTGACTGTAGTAAATATAATAAGTAATCTTTTTAAGACTCGATTTTTTTGTCACTACATTCTTGTGAATAGAAGGACCTAAGTAACTCATCAACCTACTTTCACAATTATCAGTTACAAAAAAACTTTGTGGATAAAAAGAAAGGTACAACTCCTAAACTTGAAACTCTTGTTGCCTTTACTTTTTGAACTAGTCATCAGTTAATTCTGACAAAAGCTCTTTGAAGCAACTATTAACAAATATATCAAATTTAGTTGATATGGATTTTTTACAATTTAAAATATAAAGTAAGAAAGAGATAATTATATGCACAATTATTAATGGCTATATCTCTGCTAAAAGTTTTTCTATGGTTATTAATATAGATGCAGATATATTTGTTGAGTAACAGAAAGTTTGATGAAGTTGAACAGAGATCATTCAGATACTTTTTTTAAAAGATTTTTGATTATGATAAATACAGCTTTGTTTCTGCATGTTAGGCTGCATGGATCCTATGAAGCTCTTAAAGGAGGAACAACATGCGAGGCTATGGAAGACTTCACTGGAGGAGTGACAGAATCTTTTGAGTTGAAGAAAGCCCCTCCTAACATGTTAAAAATTATGCTGAAGGCTTATGAAAGATGGTCACTGATGGGTTGTTCCATAGAGGTAGCTGTAACAAAAACAAAATGTCATATTTTGCTAGATAATAAAACAAACACTCTCCCACAACCAAAATAGAACACTGATACATGTTTATTAGTTTTAATGCTTTTTATATTCTGCGGAATATATATTTTAGCTAAATGACTAGATGTCTTTTTATGTCATAACAGACCCAATTATATATATATTTTTTCATTTCCTTTATCAGCCTAATCAACAAATCACAGAAATGGAACTATCAAATGGTTTAATCTGTGGTCATGCCTATAGTATCACAGCCATTCGCATGGTGAGTTTTTTGCTGTTTTTTTATGTTTGAGCCTTGAACATAAGTTAAATAGTTTATTTTGAATTTTCATGTAACTTTCTAAGAAAGAATGTGTTGTGTTGAAATATGCTTATAGTGTTTTGGTGTTACTTTCCTAATGTCTTGTATTGAAAGACAGTTTTTTGTCTGGGACCTTAGGTGGATAAATCCTGCAAATGGATATAATGTAGTTACACTTACTTGGCTATATGTTGTAGTAAATGTAGTGTTTCTCTTACAACACATTAATAATAATGATAAATTTTACAAATTACATTCTAGTTGACTTACACATTATCAAATTAGGAAAAAAATATAGAAAACTTAAGTAGATGTAAGTTTTTCATTTGGAGCTGTGACAAAGTTTCTCTAATCATAATTGGATAATATGGTAATTATTGCTGCTTGTCAACTATTATTTTTGCTCTCTTAATTTCTTTTAGATTAGCTTGTAAACAGATACATATATATTTCTAAATGTAACTGTGGTAGTTAATAACTTTTAATTCTGAATACATTGAATGTGGCTTAATGTACTATACTTTATATGAAACAGTTGCCAGTGTGCTTGTCCTGTTTAGTACAGAACTATTCTACTCAGTGATTTGAATTTATTTAGTACAAAAATTGACAAAAAAGTCATAATATCAGAAGTTAGCTGAATGTTGTTTCTCTTAAAAAAAGTTTTACTGAGAAGAAGCATATTTGGGTAATTAGAATTGCATGGTACAAGGATGATAGATACATTAATAATATTATGGACATTGTGACCAACCAGCTGTAAGTGTATCACAATCATTTGGGTTTAGTATTGTAAGGACCAAAAGAATTTCAACACATTCATTGTATTGAAGTTAAACTGTCAATGTTAATGAAATACATCCTCATAATTCTTTACTTGCAGTGTGGAACCAGTGCTGGTAAGTTTTGATCAACACTACAAATGTATGTGATAAAATACCATACTACAGAAAATAACACTTACACTTTTTCACAATGATTTTCTTATACTGAAGAGGTTATTATGCTATGGGCAGTTCCTGTTGAGTTGGTTTTGTGTCAGATAGTTTACATTACAGAGTCCCCTTTACTATACTGATCATCCAGATGTCAGGTTCTTGGATCAGTCAAACAACTTATCACATTAATATCATGTGTCCAATTCATAGATTGGGGGGGGGGGTGTACGAGGTTACCGTCCAACCTGCTGAACTTGAGGTGAAGATAGTATGATCCTCTTTCCTACCCCCACCATATGGTTAGATTTTGGATTGTAGTTGACTTGCAGCATATAGTCTGTTACGCCCTAGCTACTCTACATTTAGGGGTACTTCCTTTTACTTTCACCCACATTCCTATCCCACCGTTGTTCTCTCCTGTAGAGATGTGCTCCTTCCAACATGTCATTCCACACTGAGCAAAGATTATACCTGGTATAGATGTGGTATGGTCTCCCATGTATGATCCTCTACATGAGGATATACTAGAGGTAATGTACCATATTGGAAGTTATAATTTTCCTGTACTGAAAATATATTTCCAGTAGATACTTACCACCTCTCACACTTCCCACGCTTCCTCCCCACTGAAAACTGGTGCTTCCATGCAAAAAAAAAGATTTTGTATATAGAGAGCAGCACTGAACGAGATTGTTTGTTTCTTTGAAATTAAGCACACAGCTACAAAATGTACTATCTGTGCTCTGCCCACCATAGGTACTAAAACCTGATTTCTAGCATTGTAAGTTCACATACATACTGCTTTGCCACTGGGGGGCACACTGAACAAGAATAACGATTTATGTGAGAGAAGGTAAGTACCTATTGGAAATGTATTTTCAGTATATGAAAATTATAACTTTCATATAATGGAGAATAACATAAACACAATTTCAAATTCTAGTATTTGTGCAGCCTCTTTCAAATTAGATCACTATAAAAAAATAAATTTCAGACATTATTATTTGTATAAAGAAGAATAGTTTTTAAAATAATTAAATCAGCACAGACAGGTCTAGAAAAACTCAGTTGCATACTCTTACAAAAAGTCTGGTGAGATAATGTGCCATTGACCAAGCACGGCATGTGCAATCCAGAAAATTACTTCAATTCAAGCAATCAACTCTATGTGTGTTAATGGCACGACATTGTGAATACGAAGCTTTGTAAGTCTAACCATGCATCTTGGTTTCCAGACTATTTTAAGGTACTATATGTACAAATTAGAGTAAGCTTCAACATTAATCAATGACAAGATTGTAGAGAAAATAAATAGCTACAGTTGGTGACAAAATTATAGTTTTAAGTAAAATAAATTAATATTCTGCAGACTTAAAATGCAAGGTGGCATCTTTTTTCTACTTCTTATGTTTTACAATAAAATATATGGTATTCAGGTCCACTGATATCTAGCAAGTATGTTTAAAAGTATCTGTAAAATACAGATTCAAAATGATATCTAAATGGTTGGTATCTGGCTGTTGGGTTGACGGGCAAAGTAGAGAGGATTTTAAATTCATGTCCACATAGGACAAGGATAAAGAGAATTAATATTTACCATGCAAAATTTAGACAAAACATTAAAAGTGAGATATACAAAAATCCAATGCTGCATACATCACATGACTATTCCAAATAACATTTATAAGGATAAAAACCTCTAACTCTTACCAATTTGTATAGATATCTGTACCACCCCTCCTCATGGAGGTCAGAGACACAGGGCTAAAATGTTAAGAGTTTATACCTATTGGTATATATTCTGTCTTTACACGAGTAAAAGGATTGGTACATGATTACAACCTTTTGATATTTGGTTAATACATCAAAGTACACGAAAATTTAACAGAATATTTCTGACTAAATGTATATTATAAACTAATTATGGAAAAGTGTAATTCATAGCTGTTCCAGTTATGACACTAAAACTCCAAGGGTAGATGAGAATCAAAACCAATTGTAAGTGTTCTGTCTTATGAAATTAGTTCTCATATACTTTGTACCCTGAAAATAAAGAACTGCATAACAGTTTCTCTTTATTAGTATGCTAAGAAAGATTTTTTTGTCCTAGGTTGAGGTTAACACCCCACGTGTCAATGGAAAGATTCCTCTCCTAAGAATTCGTAACCCATGGGGTAATGAATGTGAATGGAAGGGTCCATGGAGTGACAGGTAAAATGTGATTGTTGGGTTACAGAATACTTTGTAAATGCTGATGCCATCTATTGGTAGATATGTGTTTATTTGGGAACATAAAAAGTAGCTGAATGTATAAGAATACCTGGAAGCTCCATCATTCAGATAACAATTTAAGATGTTGTAAGAGGATCGTTTTATCAGATAATACTAAAAAGATAATAACCATCTCAGAAGAAAATAGAAACATCTTGGAATTGATAAATTTAATGAATTGCATACCAAATCTGTTGTGGTTAAGAACATTCTTATGATATGTTTTTTATTAATTATTTATTTCTAGAAAATAAATTATCTCTTTTATTAAAAAGTAGTGTTTTGTTAATAATATTTTTCATCATTACCAAAATTTAGGTATATATGATTGAGTTTTTTAAGTGTTAGAGTGATATTTAATGAAGCATTCAATAAATGATTAACATTTGCTTGCAGTAAATATTTGTAATTATTTCTCCTTTTTACTGCAACATTTCATTTTTATGACTTATTCTTTGTCAGGTATGCTCAGCTATATACTTGCAACCATTGGATGATATTTCTTATCATCAGTACTTGTTACATCTAATTTTAGAATATAAGATACCAAGAAATTTATCCCAGATTTTGCACTTTGATTTTTTCATGCATATAGTAAAAATAATATCCCTCCATGTAGACCAGCTCTCACCACACAACACAGGAAATCTTGGTCTGAAAATACACTTTTATGTGTATGTCTGAATTTAAGAATATTTTTTATGAACATTGTCACTTATAGTTATTATTGTTGCTATTTATTATTATAATGCTTATATTTGAAGTTGCTTATTTTTAAAAGCATTGGAAACTATTGAAATAATAAATGTACTTGTAAAAATAATAGTGAGAATTGTTCTCAGAGGAAAGACTACTTAGAAATTGTTTGAATAAAGGTTGCTGCAGATAATATGTCATTAATGTCATAGACTCAAGAAACGAAAGAATTTGGAAAATAGTAGTGAAAAAAATCAACAAGAAATAGCTACCTTACATTCACTCCAATTTTTATATTGTGGCCTAATATTGCCCATATTTTAATAATAAACGTGTTTGGAAGTCCCTAGTTTTGAATAGTTACTTTGTTGTAGACAGTTCTATTCAGAGCATAATTCTTTCAATTAAACCACTCCTATAAATTCAGAAAAAGTTAGACATAATGAACTTTTGTCAAATGAATTGATAAACAAGTGAGAAAAAAAATTAATATCTGAGTAAGAATAATTTTTTTATAGTGATCTATTATCAATTTTTTATAGTAATATTTTTCTCAGCTAATAAAAACGCCCATTTTATACAACATATATCAAGTTGTTAAGTTTAATATTCCCTTTATGTTGTTAACTGTAGTAGACGATGATGATGCCTTCTTTCGTAGGTCTCCAGAGTGGACAATGGTTAGTGAAAATGAGAGGAAGGAGTTAGGACTTACATTTGATCATGATGGAGAATTCTGGTAAGTAATAATACCTGTAAGCATATAATGGTGTATGTGTTTTTATTTCTATTTTCTGTGGTTGATATTTGATCCTATTATGTGCATAAATTACATCAGTATTAACTTTTCTTTTCTGCAGAAATGAAAAGGTAATAAGTTTAAATATCATATTGGTTTTAATGAATTTATGTAGGATTATATGTACTGTGTCTAGATATTATTCTGAATATGAGAAGCACAGAAGGATCAGTTCTTGTTCTCTAATACCACATATTTTCATCTCTTTTATTTACCATGTTAAGGATGTCATTCAAAGACTTTCTACAGAATTTTACACGTCTGGAGATATGTAACCTTCACCCTGACTCATTAACTGATGATCCCTTGACTAAAGTGTCCAAGAAAAAGTGGGATACTCACGTGTTTGAAGGAGGCTGGGTCCGAGGTGTATCAGCTGGAGGATGCAGAAACTTCTTGGGTGAGTAAGGTGTACAAAAAAGTATAAAATGAAACCCCAAAGTGAATGTTTTGTTCAGATTATTATAATTAGTTCATAGTCTAAGCTATTTTAGCTTGAAACATAAAGGCTATGTCACATACAGTGTTTCATATATCATCTGATGTTAGTTCACACACAGTACTTATTCACACCTATGTGAAAATGCAGCTTCTGAAAAAATAAAGAAAAAGCACCACCATAGAAATAGATCTTTCTTTCATTATCACATTGAGATCCTACATACTTGTGGAATACGTATAGCTCAATGATAATGATTCTTAGAGAATATATGTTAAATGAAAATATTTAGTGACACAGTTAATTTAGTATTTTGAATAATGTTAGATAACAACAATAGAAAATTAATTAAGCCAAGCTAATGACAGTTTTTAACCTACTACAGATACATTTTGGATTAATCCACAATACAACATCACTCTTGAAGATGTGGATGATGATGATGATGATGAAACTTGCACAATGATAGTGGCTTTGATGCAGAAAAATCGTAGATGTAAGAAAAAGATGGGATTAGATTGCCTTACTATTGGATTTTCAATCTACCATGTATGTATATGAAGTTTAGAATTTTTATTACTTCATAGTTTTTAGAAGTTTGCAGGATGTTTTAAACTAGACAATTACAAACAATTCTTCTCAGAAGATAATTCGCTCCTCACACAGATTAGCTATCTTGCTCAGCACGTCTGCCTAAGAGATTTGTATGCCACTATCCTTGAGGCAACTCCCACCTAATTTCATGTGATTGTACGTGAATTGCACCACTGTATTATGATGTCTTTAAGGGACAAAAGTCCTCCATTAATAGGAGGGTGATACACATCCATGTGCACTAACACCCTAAATGCACTTGCACTCCAAATATTCATTCATTTATTCAGAATTGTATTGTACATACATGTAAAAATTTCTCATTTGTGTTAAATTTATTGAGATTTGCATCGTTAATGAAACTTTGATTTTTCTTTTCTTTAGCTTTTGTTTCAAAAGGTTAAATTTTTTATCAAGATTTCTCAAATGATAGTGATTTATACTTAGCCCTGAGTGTGGGATGTTGTTCACAATTAGGCCTTATTTCTTCTGTGAATTTGGAACGTATTGTAGATTACCACATGCTTAATGTGCCTTTTACTCCTGCCTCGTTGGCCGAATTTTGTTCTCCATAGTCGGGAATGATGTATTAGACTATGACCTTCAACTGATTGGCTTTGGGTAGTACTTTACTATTCGTGAAATGACTTTAACCATTCAATTTCTTTCTGGATTTCATTCTCATTTGCCTGTGTTCATTATTATTTTTTGTTTTCTCACTTTCTGATCCACAATTCATGGGTTTACCTTGTGATTTCTCCTTGCTTGTTATTAGGTTTTATACTTTACCTAATTTCTCACATCCAAATGCATCCCACTCATGTTTGTGACTCCTTTTGTCTTTATTAGTAGACATTCTTCCCTTCCTTTTTCCAATTCCCTGTCATTGGTATATATTTAGGCAGCTTGGGGATCAAGTCCTTACCCTCCATTTCACTTTCTATTTCTCCATTTTTGCATTTTCCTTCTTTTTTCTCTCTACCTTTCTGTATTTCCTCTGCTACCTTCACCTTATTAATGCTTCTAGTAGCTTCTGTAGACATTTGTTCAATTCTCTGTTTAGCCTCTTCCACTTTTTCTGCACTATCCCTCTGTACTTTGTTCCCCTGCTGTCATGTCTCATTGGGCTGTGTTACATTCCACTTTATTGTACCCTTTCTTTCTTCTTGTTTATTTATTATTTGTCTGGCTCTTTTTCATTACCCAGATATCTTCATTGGTGTTCCTTTCCCCATGGTGATCTGGTCTAATGTCCTCGTTATTTTCCCAGATTTTTTCCTCTTTCTTGCCTAACCTTACCCTTTGCTCCTAATCCTCATGGCCCGGCATGGCCAGGTGGTTAGGGCGCTCGACTCGCAGTCTGTGGGTCGCGGGTTCGAATCCCCGTCACACCAAACATGCTCGCCCTTTCAGCTGTGGGGGCATTATAATGTGACGGTTAATCCCACTATGCGTTGGTAAAAGAGTAGCCCAAGAGTTGGCGGTGGGTGGTGATGACTAGCTGCCTTCCCTCTAGTCTTACACTGCTAAATTAGGAACAGCTAGCGCAGATAGCCCTCGTGTAGCTTTGCATGAAATTCAAAAACAAACAAACAAACCTACTACTCATATAGATCAGTCTCCTTCTTTCCTTTCCATTCCAGGCCTTCCTCTTTTTTCTCATCTTCCCTTTATGAGAAGAATTATTTGTCACTCTTCTTGTGACTGTCACATACATACACTTCTGTGGTTATCTTTCTCTTCTTCTGCTGTTGGTCTCAATTTCTGCCACCAGTCATTTTCCATTTCCCCACATTAGTCTATTTCCTCCCTCCTTTTCTCTTTCCTTTTCTCCTCCCTCTGACCTTATCTATGGTCTTTTTCACTCAATCTACAGTTGGTCATGGTCTATGTGTCAGACACCTTTCTACACATTTCTCTCGCCCCATCCTCCCTTTGTTTTCTCTGTTCTGCCTGTTTGTTTTGTCTTTCCATTCCTTGCTATTCCCTTTGACCTAGTTTCAGTTCCTCTTGTATTCTTTGGTATTATGAGGGCCTTTGCTTGCCATATTCATGAACCAGGGCTGGTCACCAGGTTTTACACTTCTTATTCTCTCCCTGCATGAGTGGTTCTTTTGCTTTTGAGAACACTGGCTTCCCTAGAACCACTTATTCTTATGGGGCATGCCCTCATGTATCTCCTACAGTGCACCTTGTGAACCCAAGGTTTTTTTCTTGAGTCCTTTGTCCTTTTTTATAAGCTTCTCCTCAAGTATTTGTCAATGACTGGACCTTCCCCATACAGACTGCAACTCAACAACTGGGTGCTAGAATAGGAGTACCAATATGGTGAGAAGTGGACAGTGGTGTAGGCCATCCCTCACATAAATCAGATATGTCACTAATGCCATCCATTACCTCCTCTTGCAACCTGAATCTATTCAGTGGAGTGAGATGAGCACACACTAAATGATTCTGCCCTTCTCCTGCAATTGGAGTCTGTCCAGTAGAGTTGAGGTGAGTATACACACTAAATGACTGTGCCCTCTTCCTGCAGCCAGAGTCTGTCCAGTTGAGATGTGCATGCAATCAATATTGACCAGTAATGCATCTTAAAGTGTCCTCCTATTGCAGAAAGAATCTATCCCATAGAATCTGTTCAGTTGATTAGAGGTGAGCACACACTATTCACAACCAATATATCTATGTCTCACATATTCTCCTTCTGTAGCCAATGTCTATACTGTAGAGTCGAGATAACCACAATCTATATCGGTCCAGACTACATACCTAATGTGCCCTCTTCTCACAGCTGGTGTAAATCCTGTAGAATCTGACATTAGAATTGAGGTGTACACGAGTATCCATAATACATAAAAATATGCCCTTCTCCCACAGCTAGAGTCAGTCCTGTAGAGTGTGATGATTGAGTTGAAGTGAGCATGAATACATATCACATGTGAACTTCTCTCACAGCTATTGTGCCCCTTGGTGGGAGAGCATTAAGTCTATGGTCTTACAATACTAAATTCTGGGGTTTGATTCCCTGTGGTCGACAAAGGAGATAGCCCAATGTGGAAGTGAGTATCTATCAGAAATTCATTTTCAGCTAAGGAAAATGTTAACATTAACAGTATAAACTGCTTAGTTATCGTAATGTTATTAATATTAAAATCTTTAATTTTGGAAGTCTTGTGTTGTGAAAAACCTTTTGTGTGGATGAAGTATGATAATATTAAACCATATTATCCAGTATTAATTAAGTAAGCTGAATTTTTGTTAGGTCTAAATTGTAGTCACTAATTGCATTGTATAATTTCAGCAAGATGTATTTCCAGTATTCTAAACTATTTGAAAATGATTCTTAAAAGTAATCATTTTTGTTTCAAGAAGTGGTAGAAACAATGAGAAGATGAATTATTGAAGAATTCAGAGGTGATCTGTTTACTGATAGCAATTTATCAGTAGGTAGTAATATTTTTTGTCAGATGATAGAATCTATTTTATTGGTCAGTTTTGTCAGTGTATGTGTATCAAAGAGTTAGGATATCTTTTTAATGTTAGCAACATTGCTAAATATTTGATGTTAATGATATTGCAGTTTCACTGGGATGAATCAAATGCTTTTAAATCTTGGAAATAATGTAGATATTTAGTGACAGTTGAATTGAAATAAAAACACAATGACTTGCATTACTTGTGTTTTGTTTAAATGCACTATATACATTTATTCTTTAAACATGAGTTTTTGTTATTAATATGTCTAGTTGAAAAATGCAGAAAGCCTTCCTAAACCATTAGCCAAAGACTTTTTTAAGTACAATGCATCTGTTGCCAAATCTCCATCTTTCATTAACCTTCGAGAAGTCAATGCCCGGTTCAAGCTCTCCCCTGGTACCTACTGTATTATTCCCTCAACATTTGACCCAGGAGAAGAAGGAGATTTCATTCTTAGAGTCTTCACAGAAAAAGAAAACAAAATGAGGTATTATCTTGTACTGAAAAAAAATGCTGAGTAATTATAATTATTATCCCTAAAGAAGTCAATGATTTGTATGTCTAACAGTTCACTGTTGGTTTACATATCATCATTACTGGTATCACTAGTCATTACCTAAAGATTCTAACAGTCATACTGAAATAGCTGTATGCATTACTTTCATACATGTTAACTTTTTTCTAAACAATAGGCTTAAATTATTATTTAAATATTCTTAAATTTAGCCTATGTTAGATGTAAGAAGTATATTACTTTGGAAAATCATAATACATGTTAATATTTTTAAAGTTCAAGTTTTAAAGAGAGCAAAAATACAGCTTAACTATTGACAGAATTAACAAACATTTGTTTGATTTATAGTTCTCTCTTTGGTTTCATGTGAAATAAACTCCATTGATCTTGAGTAGGCACTTTTATAAAACCTCCAAAATTGAAACAAGATTGAATTGAAAACTATAGTACCCCATTTATAAAATATTTTAGAATTTATTAACGTAATAATATTTTTGTTTAATAAAGAATACAATTGTTCAGTAGAACAATAATTTTTGATTTTAATCATTTTTATAAACATTGTTGTAAACTATATTCTTAATATTTTAATTTAGATATTTGTTTGCTAGAGGGAGCTAATTATGATGATAAATCAATATTCCAGAAAGTTCATGAAAGTTAAGGTCTCTCTAGAATCTAGTAATTTTGGGCAGTATGTAGGAAAAAGGAAACAATATAAATACGAGACTTAGTGAAGCAGTTGGTTATTGAATTATTGAGAATTCAATGAGTGATTCAGTTCAATGTTAACGGTGAGAGTTATAGTTTATTAGCATGAAAATTCTATAAGTAAGCTTATTTTTAAGTTAAGTATAGAGAGCATTAGTGTTATAGTTTTTATTGAAGTGTTGTTTGTGAACTAAGACCTAAACTTGTAGTGTCAACCTGAACAAAGCCTGTAGCAAACCTTATTGAAGAAATATGTTAAATTTTTATTGTTACATGGACTGAACTTGGCATTATTTTATCAAATAATGCAAAGAAGAATCTGCCCAATAATAGAACATACTACAAAAAATTGTTAAGTTTGTATTTTTGATAACTAAGTGAGTTGTTATTCAATAGCTCATCAATTCAATGAAAATTTTGCAATAACTAAGAAATATTTTTTAACTACAATAGATAAATCAGGACAACTTTGGAAATTAGTCATTCTCTGTAGATTAAAAACTTTTCTGTTCATTGCTGTCTTATGCAAACCATGTTTTTAACCTTTAATAATCTTATTTCATGGATTTGTAACATCTAGAAATACATATATGTACAATTTTGTATATTTTTTAATGAATAAATGGACAAAATTATTATTGAAGAAAGGATCAAGACAGATTTTATATGAGTAAGATAGAAATCTGTAGATTAAGAGAGACTTAACTTTCATTGTTTTGTGATGAATTGAAGTGAAATGAATTAACTGTTGGGCCACACCAGATAGGTATGTTTTATAACTGGAAATTCGTTCAAGATACTGATTATGGAGTAATGCTAGAACTCTTCCTTAACTGAGTCAATGTTAAACAAAATCCTGAGACTGGATACAAGTGTAAAACAAATTATGTTAAATGTGAGACATAAACACAGTGAGCATACTTGCAGTTTACTTATGTCAGACCATCTCTTCTACTTGATGTTCTCAGGTTAAGATAATCTACCAGACTGCCAAATCCAAGCTTTGATTCAAAATAAACCCAAAATGCACTACCACATGACTCATCATTCTCATTATACATATAAAAGAGACTGTAACCTCAAGATATAGATGTCACCTGAACAACCATTGAAGAACATTGCTTTTGACAGCCTTACACTAGGTTGTATAAAGCAATGTTCTCCACAGGCAATAACAGGTATTACCTACTTTGAGATCAAACAAAGGAAACTTGAAACAAGGTCAACTTAACAGTTTTCTCAACCATGTGCTGTGTGAAACCTGCACATATTCAGAATAAAGAATAAATTCAGAATAAATATCATAAGACTACAAGAGGATAGAAACACATGATATATTCATATAGCACAGTTCCATACCCTGTTATGTTTGTTCTATTCATAGTTTTTTCCCCATTAATTTATACAACCTAATGAATTATTCTCACGTTACAGCGAGTATGATGAGAAAATAGAATTGCTGAAACCAGATGATGAGGTAGGTTATGCATTACTTGTTGTAAGGTCTTTTTTCATTGATATGTAATTGAGTTAATATTTGAAATACTTTAAGATCTGTCTTTACCATTTTATAAAAATGTTTTCTTAAAGTCAAACTTTGATTACTTTCTTAAGTATTCATAAAATTTAGCCAAGGAAGTGGGATTTTCTGTTAGATTTATTAAAATGTTGAACCAAGCAAATGTCTAGGTTTTTCAGTAAACAAATATTTATGGAGTAAGCTTTGATTAATTTAATTGCATAAACTTTCTTGTGTGTTTCTTTTTTTGGCCTTAAAACGGCATATTGGAACAAGAGGACACAAGGAAAATTTGAAATGCATGTGAATGATTATATAATTAAATTGCAGTTTTGAAAGCTTTTAAAATAGTAGTAAACTTTTATAAAGATATTCAAGAGATTAAAGTACTAGATTCAGGTAGAAGAGAAGAATGTTTCTCAAAATATATTTTATTTTTTAAAAGTAATAAAGTTTATTATGTTTTGTTTTCCATAATTCCACTATACATGTGTATGTGTTTGTTTTTCACCTGTAGTATGATTTTTTTGGTTGAGCTCTTCATCTACACATTGTTTGCTTTCTTTTAGTTGTTTGTGTAATTTTACATGAATATCTATTTTCATATCAGTAGTCAGTTTCTCATTTAATTCCAATGTTTTACAAAAAGAAATATTAAACTTCGATTCAGTATTATATATATATATTTATCTTAAGTTAATATAAAGATAGGAAAGGTAATAAAAATAGTAGCATGACTGAAAACATATTGTTGTAATATTTATGAAGTAGAATTTATTAAATAATGTTTCAAATCTAAAATCATTATTCATTCATACAAATATACACAACATTGTGGGAAATATAAGATTGTGTATTAACCATTGAATTTTGAAGGTTTTTCTTCACAAAAATTCCAAATTTTTTTAGATACTGTTACATTTTACAAATATTTAAATGAAAAGATTTGAAAAACATAGTACTGGAGTTATATTTGAGTGGTCTCTATATAAATAAATATTATTGTACTAAAGCCATATTAGTAAAATTAACATACATCATACTTGATAAAATTGGTGTTGTGAATCCAAATATACTTACCAAATATAAATCTATAAAATTTTGAACTACGCCAATAGCACAATTACTCTGGTCTGTAATGATATTTGTTTGTGCAATAGATGTTTTAAAGTATAAAGTATGTCTTTTTTTGTTGGTAAGTGTTGAAGTTTGTAGTAATATATTGTTTACTGGTGTTTCCTCATTGTGCATGTATAATATTAACTGTGTTCAATGTGTTGTTTCCCTGTTCCAACTTAGCCCAAGGCACCAGCTAAGCCTAAACACAGCATGTCAAAATTGCATGTAAGCATGCTTACTGTTTGGTTATGTTTTTATTTGCAATCTATGTCAGTTAACTTTCTGTTGCATGTTTTGTAAGCTTTTTTTTTAGTTATTAAATTAAAAAACACCATGTGATGAAAAGAATGGGATTATTTTAGGTACTTAATTATACTTTAATTTCATTGCTTTAAGGAATGGTTTAAATCAACGACAATAATTTTTTTAAACTGTAAAAGGATGTATAAAATCAAATACCCCTTTTTTATTTTATTAACTGTTAGACCTTACAAAATCACTATGCATTTAAGATGGGTGCTCAGTGACTTAATCTGCAAAAACAATTTTGTCATTAATAAATATCTAAAATGAGGCTTAATAAACCTGAACTCTGATAGTTAGTCACAAACCAATCAATTTTAAATGTATAATTACTATGTGTCACTTTAAGTATTTCTGTTTTATAAATCTTGTTAAAATGTTGGTATTCTCCATTCAAAGTTCATGCTTTTCTTCTTTAATAAAATCTTATAGAAATTTCAGTTACGTGAAATAGGTGGACATTCATGCACCATAAATCTATGATAAATTTTGTGGAAACTTGAAGAATCAGCTGAATTGTTTGCAGAATATATATTTTGTCTATATTTTTTAACTTTTATTGTTTTAATTTTAACTTTTCAAGTATTTTAACATTGATAATAAATACCAATGACCTTCTTAAAAACAATAATTTATGTATAAGGTCATTTTGTTAAAATATCTGTGTATATGTCAGGTACAAGTAAAAGAATCACAAGAAGAGAAAGATAAGGATTCACAAATAAAGGACTTTTTTTCACGAATTGCTGGAGAAGATTTGGAAATTGATTGTTATGAACTCCAAGAAATTTTGAACTTTGCTCTAAGAAAAGGCAAGTCAGTTTGGACAAATGTTTTGTTATTTTTTATAATTATGTGAAACATATAATATAAAGTTACTTTGTGAGTCATAATTAATTGTATGGATAAAATGTTCTTTAACTATAAACAATGGCAAATCAATAAACTCTTATAATATTACTCTTTAATCAGCCTAAATTGAATTGTAACTTAAGATGTTATTTGATTGAACTTCCTATCTGTTTGATTAAAGTTTATTTAATTGTTCATTGCTCAGCAGTAAACTTGAAGCCTCATTAATGCTAGAAACTAGGTTTTGATACCTGTGGTGGGAACAGCACAGATAGCCCATTGTGTAACTTTGTGCTTAACAGCAAACAAACAAAACAATAACATAAAAATAAATAAGAGAAATAAACATAACTATTACTATTGTGAATTACCATACAGATATTTTTAATTCAACTGAAAAAAATTAATTTTCCTAAACAACTTTGTTATAATTCTCTAAGTCATTATACCATTTAGATAGTTAGCTAGATTTCATAATTTTCTTCCATTGATATTGCTTTCTCTAAAGTTTGATGCATTTTTCTAGTAAGAAAAAAACAGTTATGAGATGTTATGTCTACTATCTTTTTTAATACATTATTTTCTGACAAAAATGTATTTATAAAGTTTTGCAGAAAATTTTCTGATCACCAGAAATAATTAAGCTTATACCAATAGTCAATGTTTCCATTTGGTTTGATTAATTTGTTTTTATTTGTTTTGTTCCAAAATGAATACATTTCTAGTATAAATAAATTTTCATCAATTAAGAATGTTAACCTGTTTATAACCATCATGTTTGATTGTAGTTGTTAATATATAATGTTTGAATTTCTTGAAAACCATTCAATGTCGTCGTTCTGGAACAAAATCCTCAGACAAGGGTAAGAAACCTAAATAATTACTGATGTCTGATATGTCTAAAGATACACTCTTACAAAGGGATTTTGCATACTTCTCCATAGGCATGTGAGGTTTTGGTATATGTCTTTGATTGTAGTTGTTAGTATATAATGTTTGAATTTCTTGAAAACCATTTAATGTCGTTGTTCTGGAACAAAATCCTCAGACAAGGGTAAGAAATCTAAACAATTATTAAAGTCTGATGTTAGATATGTTTAAAGGTACATTCTGATAATGGGATTTTACATATTTTTCCATAGGCATGTGAGGTTTTGGTATTTGTTTAAATAACTTTTTTTTTGCAAATTTTTTAATTGCATGGTTTGTGGGTGTGATATGTAGTGGCTGGCAAAGGTTGAAGCAGTAATTTTTTTATTGTAAGAAACATTATTAGGGTTGATTTTTCTTTGTTTATTACAGATATTACAGAAAAGCAACATAAATTAAATTATAGAATTCAAGATCACCAACTGTTAGTAATAAGTATTTTTTTAGTTTGTGAATAACAGGAAATGGTGAATTTCAATTGTTAATAGAATATAAAATATATTATTTCAGTATGAAATCACAAAAAAATTTACTTCTGTGCAATTAGTGTGTATTATTAATCCTATCTATCAAACCAAATGATAAGGGTACAGAGACATTTACTAAACATCTTTTTAAAATGACTACAGTTGTTTCAAATGAGAAGCTCAACTACTTATTTTACAGAATTCAACTTTGATGGGTTTTCTGTGGATGTCTGTCGAAGCATGATAGCTATGATGGATGTATCCTTTTCATTGAAAGTTCTATTTAATTTTGATTGAGTAAAATGTATTTCTATTTTCACAATAATATTCTTAATTAGGTGAGAAAAGTGAAAACAGTAGTTATTTAGATACCAATATTTTATAACAATTATTTAGAAATCCTTTTTTGTAGCATAATTTTGTCATAAAAAAATGTGTTTTGTAAACTGTCCATTCTAGGTAACAGTAATATGTCATTTATATTGGTCGGTATTTATATTACTTTAGCTACAATTCTGTTAGTTATTTTAAGTATTTAGTTTGCTCCCATGTATTATATGTGGAATAATATTTTATTCTTTTTGTCAACAAAACACAGATAATGGTTTTTAAGCAATACTTATCAACACACTGACTATTTTCATAGACCATGACTTTGGGGACATTCTTGAGAGAGTTATTAAATTTCTTTGTAAAACAACTTTGTAGGAAAATAAGTTTAATTCACTACATTGTAAATTAAACTTAGTATCTTGTTAACATCTAAGTGGAATCCCAAAAATTCCTCATAGTGCATGTTTACTTTGAAATATTTACCATACATTATTTGGAACAGCGATGAAAGATAACAATCTCAACAGTGTTTTGTTTTTTTCTTATTACAAGTTACAGCTTTTACAATAAGGAAGAATATTTTTAAACAGGAACAAAGTTTTGATCACTCATATAGTCATTCTCAAGTACACAAGTTTTAACAGTAAAGAAGGTTTTTGTATTTAAATCAACATTCAACAATCTAACAGTGCTCTTAAATGTTCATATCATTTTGTGTGAATTGACAGGTTATATTCATGTGCTAGTCAGAACCTTAATGTAACAACTAGATTCATTTTCACTCCTGGAATGAAAATGAAAGTTTTAAGAAAATTTTATAATGAACCCACTCCACCAAGAAACAGTTACAAAATACAATGTAACAATTGCCCAGCCTTTTTGACATAGGTGAAACTGGACATAAATTGAACATCAGGTTAAAAGAACACCAAAAATCCCTTTCCAAAGTCAATGAACATATACGAATAAAAACAACCACAATTTTTCTGAACATAATATCATCATATCAAAACATGAACTTGACATTAACAGAAGAAAATTCAGAGAAATTTTATTAATAAAACCCAACAGTCCCACAATTAACAAGTACCTAGGCACATCTGTATGTTTTTGATCATTATTTCCATAGACATTCCTAATTTTATGCAAATCTTTCACACAAAATATTCCACATATTCATATTTATTCACTTTTTTTGTTTTTACTGTTTAGCTATAAATACATAATCTGTCAATTCCTACAAATTGATATGCACATACATAAGTAACCACAATCGATTTTCTAACTTAAGTACATTGTTAGATTGTTGATTTACATACAAAAACCTTGTTTAAACCTGTTTACTTCAGAATGATCCAACCAGTTATTGAAATGTCATACCTGTTTTAAAAAATATTCTTCCTTACTGTAAAAGCTGTAACTTCTAATAAAAAATGCATATAATCAGTAAATAATCCGAAAACAAAACTACTATTATTAACAAGTGTTTAAAAATAAGATTAAAGAACAACTAGAAACTTTTTTAGGAATTTTTCCCACTTTCTATGCTGCTCTGAGTTGACTGACTTCTAAGTAGAAGTAGAGTAACAGGTTTTGTTGTTAAGCCAATAATTGACATTTCCTTGTTCCATTGAAAATCTTTTCTATGATGTAAGTACATATGTATGGTTGGTTGTGATTACATAATACAATAAAAAGACCACAAAGTTAAAGATGTTCTCATAAGATACTACATATATATATATATATATATAGACTAGTTATGTAACAGCCTAAAATGAACACACTGTCACAGTCAGTGTTCAGCAACAAAAACAATTTACTCACAATAACAACACTTAGAAATAAATTCAACACTTACCAAAACACAGTTAATAAACAAGTGCCTGGCCAGGACTTCAGACCAATATTAATAAACAATTTATCCATAAATATGAATAAATCAATCAACCATAATGGAATCAGGAAAAAGAACCAGCAAGAAAAAACCTAATTTAAAAAAATACAGCAAACACAATATTCATCAATAACAATATCCTACAATAACTATCTTGTGATTCGTTCTCTCTCTCTTAGTGACACTTGTGGCAGGGTATTTATTCAGAGTAGGTTGCGAGAGTAGAACCTCATGTGATCAAAAATTTACATACTCTTCTGCTACATTAATAGTATCAGTATGTCACCACTAGGGAAGCTGGTGTCAGTTTCATCATATACACATATATTTACTCAAAATACAAATGATTAACTAGAAGGTGAGTTAGTGTTTTAATGCAACTTAAAATTCACAGATATGCTCAACTATAGAAGGAAATAATAAATGAGTGGTAAACACAACCATAATCTTAAAAAAAAAAATAGAATTTGCTATCTCGCATTCCTTCCCCCTTAAAAACGAAGTGATGACACTAAACAGTTTGTACAAAATATCCCACTTTTAGTATACTTACTTTTAACTCCCTCTTTATACTGACATTATGAATCCTTTACAGTTTAAAGTACAGATATCTTATGAGAAAAATACAATTCATGTTTTTGAATCTTCAGTTAGATCTTCTATAACCTGCAGCTCTGGTTTGGCTTACCGAAAGTTTAACACTTTGAAGATCACCTAACTACGATAATTAACTCTGTGATGTTGTCACAATGTCCTTTAAGGAGGAGATAGAGGTAAGTCATCAGCAGGATCACTTGAAGGGTGAGAAGTGGACACACCAGTAGAAGACCTTTTTCTTGTGGAGAATGGCCATCAAGTCTTCTGTAGTCAACATTTTCGTTTTGCTGCAACTGCCTAGGATGGTTACTATCTTCACTGTCGAGAGAATTGCCACTGGGGAAATATATATATATATATATATTTCTTTATATTAGAGATATGAAATTGTCCTATAACTGCACTTGATCCAGGATCTTTTAACTCATACACTAATGGAGTAACACACTTCGTAATATCAAAAAGTCCATTCCACCTGGGACAAATTTTGCAGTAAAATGAACAAGCCGTAACAATCAGGGTTCAACAACGATAAAAAAATTTATTCACAATAACAACACTTGGAAATAAATTCAACACTTACCAAAACATAGTTAATAAACAAGTATCTGGCCAGGACTTCACACCAATATTAATAAACAATTTATTATAAGTATTAATAAATCACTAATAATGGAATCATGAAAAAGAACCAGAAAGATAAAACCTAATTTAAAAAATAAACCTAGCAAATTCAATATTCTAACAATACCTTTCAATATCAATATTGAGTGACAAACAATTACTATCCATCAATAACTATCTCATAACTTTCCTTCACTTAGTGAAGCTTCTGACAGGGTATTTATTCATAGAGTAGGTCACGAGAGTATAACCTCATGTGGTCATAAATTTACACGTTCTTCTGCTACCTTAATAGTATCTGTACGTCACCACTAGGGAAGCTAGTATCAGTTTCATCATATATATATTTACTCAAAATACAAATGATTATGTAGAATGTGAGTTAGCATTTTAATGCAACTAAAATTTTTTAGATAAGCTAAACGATACAAGGAAATAATAAATGAACGATAAACACAATCATAGTTAGAAATTTGAAAATTCCATAAAACACAAAACATGGCTTTAAAACCTTAGTTTTTTCATCTATTTTCCATCTACACTACAAAATACTTAGAAGAAAAAATGAATTGAAGTGTTTTCCTGATTAATACCTGGTAAAATTGTTTTTTACTTATATGAACCATAGGTATCAAATTCTTAATTTAGAAATACAATTTAAGAATTTTCATCAAAATGTTTTTCTTCTATTACCATTAACTTAACTGACAACTCAGGTTGATCGCTCTGGGAAACTTGGACTGGAGGAATTTAAAAACCTATGGATGGATGTCCGTATGTGGAAGGTAAATGTTGAAAAATACTATTGAATTACTCATGATATCAGGAAGACTTGAAATACACTAAGTCTAAAAATTAGCACTAATTTAGTTTTGAAGAATAAGTATTATAGAAATTATGTTCTTGCAAGCATCCGATATAATATGATTTTTATTATGTTAATATTTATTTGTATAGGTAAATGGGTAGACATTAACCCTGTTTTATGTAGTTGCATTTTATTTGATTTAGTTTCATTTATTTTGTATGTTTTTTAATAATTTACAGGACTGACAGTTATTATTTTAGCAATATATTATTGATATCACTTTGTTAATTTTCTTTTCCTCTTCCATTTGTCTACACGTAACAATAATCTTGCAACACAAATAATTTTTCTCACGTGTTGTTACACGAAATAAGTTTCAGTTTTGTATTCTGTAAACTGTTTCATGTTAAAATGGAAAGTCACTCTTGAGGAAATTTTATAAATGAAGTACATGTTAATTGGATTCAAGTTTCGTTTTTGTGGTCGTCATTCACTTATATGTAAAATATCTTGTTCTACACCTACCTATTTTGAATTATACATAATATATTTGTATAATGCAGAAAAAAATTGTCAAGTAAAAACTAACATCAAGTAGGATTCAATGAAAATCCTTGCATAATTTACTATTGCTCTAATTACCTTATGTTCAATATTATAAAATTGAAAGTATAACAAAACTTGTATTATTGTGAGGGAAAATAATTAATTGTTGCCTTTAATATAAAAAATTTGGTGGATATATTGTAACCACCTACTATGTATATACTTTAATTTGATTAAATGTGTATATACTTATGTGTATGTATGAGCAACATAGAACTTTCATTTTCATTCATTGTGTAGGATGCAATATTTTGATAGAAAAGTAGCAATATAAAATATATAATGATCAGCAGTGTAAAACAAAATCATCACATTCCTTTCCCCAGCTTTATATTTTTAAGGTCATGTAGCTTGCATTAGAAGTCATGATTTATTGACTTATTTAAAACTTTTCAAATGATACAAGTGTTAAATCTCTACTCACAAGTTTTATTAATATAGTAAGTAAAATTTCCCAGTACACTTTTTAAGTGTTTTACTTTTTTTGTAGTAAAATGTTTAGAGAGTTAAATTTGCAAAGTTTCACATATTTTGTAAGAGCTGTGTCATATAACATTTTCACATAGATGAAAAATTATCTTTTTATTAGAATGTTTTCAAAAACTATGACAAAGATGGCTCTGGGTTTCTCAACACCATGGAGCTAAGAATGGCCCTGAACTCAGCTGGTAAGCTTTGCCAATAGAGTTTGCTCCATTTTTACAGGAATCATTAAATTCTTGAAGATGTATAAATGTCAGCTATTATATATATAGAATTATATGAATTTCCACACAAAAGTAATTTTGTCAAATTAAATAATATTCTATGGAAATATATGTTATTTCAATGTCATCTTTAAAACAGTATAACTTTTTTTTAGGGTATCGTGTAAACTTTCACATTCTCAGAGCATTGGTCATCAGATATGGAAAAAATGAAAAGATCAGTTTTGATGACTTCATTATGTGTGCTGTTAAGCTTAAAACAATGATTGGTAAGTTATTCTTATTTAACGATAATTTGTTATCAAAAGTAAGCTAATTAGATGAGAGCATAAAAGTAGATGTACATCAATGAAGCTGGTCCTAAATAATAAACTTACCAAACTATATTGTAAATCAGTTTATAAGAAAACAAAAAGCCTATAATGACAAAAGTTCTTTGAATCATTAGGCAGATATCCTCACTGCTAGAAATATTTTAGCCCTGATTCCAGTATAATTTCTTCTTTTTTAACTTACAGTACTTGTGACATCAGTGAGCATTTTTTTAATATTAGCTAGAATCCAAATCATCACTATCTTTGACTAATTAATACTATATATCTATATGTATAATATTTCTGTATTCCAAAATGTGAAGACCCAATTTATACAGTTAGAATATGAACGTTGATGTGAATACATTCTTTGTAAAGATATTGGGAAGCCAGAAAAAACAGCACCGTGAACTATAATATTCCTACAAGCTTCTTTTTTTTTCATCCATTAAATGGTTCTTAGAGCTTAAATGTAACTGTGAGTTTTTTTTACCAGTTTATTGAAAATTTCTTTTCCTGTCTAATGTATGTGTTTAATTTGTTACTTTGGTTATCAACAGTATCCCTAAAAACAGTATACGTTGATGTGATATTCATCTTAAAATTTTGTACTAATAGCTCCTGGATGTTTTAAAAAGAAATATTGTACTGAAATGTCAAGGGAAACCAATCTCTATAAAGCTTTAATTGTAAACATAGTAACAATTCATTTGAATAGCCAAATAAATAGTTTAACAATAAACTCTGATAATGAAAGTACAAAAACCACCATTCACCAATTTCATATAAATAATCTCAACATGCTGCTTCAACAAAGTTGTTGATAGTAACCAGAATTTCATATCTTTGTCAACCAAGCAATATTAGTTTACCATATGTACTGCAAAATCAGTGGAAATTTTTTTGTTGAAATGACAGTAAAACTCAAAGTCACTCTGTAAAATGCATCAAATGTAATTGCATTTTATCAAATATCAGCCATTATTATTTTAGAACTCTTCAAAAATATATAATTTAAACATTATAAAGACTTAATCTTTGGAAGTCCTGAACCGCAAGGTGGAAATTAAAAAGTAATGGGGTTATCTTTTACATACAAGATACTTTATTATCTCGTACATATGATTTATTATCTTGTGCATACGGCTTAGTTTCTCATGCATATGAGTTATTTTCTCATACATACAAGGTAACCCTATTACTTTTTATTTTTCATGTTGCAGTTCAGGGCTTCCGTATTAAACAACTCTGTTTAACTATTAAATTTTCTTCAGGTATTCAAAAGACAATATTGAGGGTAGTATTACATACACTAGGATCACATGCATGTATGTGGAGCCCATATAAACACATCTTGAAAATTTCATTTATTCATTTAAAAATGAGTAGAAAGTAATCATTAAACTCATGATATAGTCATATTAATGTTTGAAGAGTATAACTATCAAGGTTATGTCATGTGTAACTGTTTGTAACTTATATTTTATTGTTGATAAAATTTTGTTAAAAAAGAAGTTGACTTTACATATCTTAATTTCCCAAACAAATGTAAAAAGACCAAATTATAATGGTTTTGGCTTTATTTCTTACATAATGATAATTATATAGCGTATCTTATTTAAATTTCAAGACAACACTATACTATATTTCTGATTAAAATCTTTGTAGAATGTTCATAAGGTTGGTGTGAAAAAAAAACACAATGGTACTTTATTAATATGTCATTCTTAACTATATTGTTTTTGTATTTCTGTTCATTTCATAGCTGTTTTGTTTTTTAATTCATGGTTGAAGGAATTTGTTAAGGTTAATAAATGTTTACTTGAAAATTGGCTACAAGTTTTTGAGAAAGAAACTGTAAAGTAAAGAATTTTTATTTATTTCAGAAACCTTTAATGAAAAGGATCCTCGTCGACTTGGGAAAGCTACTTTCTCTTTGGATGAAGTAAGCTTTTTTTATTTTCAGAAATTGCTACTTTAGATTAACAAATTTAGATTTTAAGTTCATTAACAATAAAACATTTGTCTTCAGAATTGATTATATAACATATTTTAACTAGAGATAAACTCTTAGTTAACTGTTATCTATACGAAAATGGTACATTTTCTAATATGTTTTATGAATTTCATTTAGATTTCATAAAAAATACCATAAACACAGTACATTGTCTACTATCTTTCTACTAAAGATGAAAGTAATTTAGTTTACACTATTCTTTCATAATACAGAAACCGAAATTTACTGATTTTTGTTAATGTGTTAGCTGTATTGGCCAGTGGTGTAATGATATGTGGGACAGCTGCTCTAGGGCCTTAGCCAACCAGGGAACCCTCAAAATTGGTACTTAATATTTTGAATATTGGAATTGAGTGGAAATATTCTGAAACAAGGAAGAAGTTTTAATGGGGGGAGGCAACAAAAGTTTTTGCCCAGGGCTCTTTGAGACCTAGATACACCACTGGTAAAATTGGTCAAATTTGGACTGCATGTTTGTTATACCAACTTTTTCTAAGTTGCATAAATTTTCAGTCAGTATAAAATCACATTTACTTATATTTCTCTATTAATACTGGTACAGTTTTCTACTAAAAGGCCATACATAGCATTGTGTTTTGGAAAGCTTTGTTTATGTTAAAATTCTCTTCAAAACTTTATTTTGCTTGTATCACCAACTGACACATGACATTTTTATTATTCTTGCTAGCTCTAATAGAAAATTTCAGATACTAAGAACGTTTCAGGTTTACTCTTTACACTGCTTTCAAGTGTTCTTTTTAAATCACAAATCTATTAATTTCATATAGTAAGTTAGAGAACTTATGGATTAAATTTTACTTATATATATATTTATGTTTTTTTAGTGGGTGGAAAAGACCATGTACACCTGATCTGACATTTACAAGGATTCAGCTTGAAAGCATTTTTAACATTACTGTAGTTGTAACGTTTGCTGTGACCATGCCAAAGTTATTTTGTCATTGTTGTTCATTTCTTAATCATACTAAAGGTCTGGTAGCAGACTAAGCTATTACAATTACTAATATCATGCAAAGCTCAAGGAATGATCTTGTCAGAATATCAAACTTTGTTTAAGAATTAATATTATTTATTTACAAACTTTTTTTCAGTTTATACCAGTTACTGTAAGTATTTAGTTAAAAGCTTAAACATTAAAATCAGTTTTTAAATTCTTATTTAGTTTACAAGTTAATCATTTCAGCCTAACTTATATAACTTTAGAGTGTCCACATGACAGAGAATTACTTGGAGGATTTTATCCATTCACTGCATGGACAATGCTTAGTTTCTGATATATATATATATATTCGCTTGCATATTCATTAACAACTTATGTTATTTAGACAACCATAATTTCAGGTTAAACAGTATTACAGGTTACTTTTTAATCTGTGTTTTATCATTTATTATTGACCACCTCACCTTAGGGAAACTCTTATTGTCCTTTTCTAAGTTTTAAAAGTTATAGAACTTAAATTGTGTTTTATGTATGAGCAGAAAAATCCAGGTTTTGTTTTTTGGAGTAGTAGTTTTTTTTGCCTTTAATACACCTATGTAGTGAGTTTTTGTTTTTTGTGTAATTAAGTCACATCATAAAAGCACCAAAACAGTAGTGTAATATAAATGTTATTATACAATGTATTATCTCTACCTACATATAATACTGGTATTTTTATAATGCAGTCTTGGCTTATTTTATTTTATGAAGTTGTAATTGTTATTAAAAATAGCAATACTTTACCAGTGTTCTTCTGATGTGTCTAATAAACAATAGACATGATCTTAATGCTATCTTCACTATGATAAAGTAAAAACGTTTTCTCTTTATCTACAAATACCATGATCATTTTACCATGATTGTTTACATATGTTTTGATAATTGATCTATACATGTTTACTTAAAAATCAAGAATGATGGGTAGTTTAGAACAATATTTTTAACATTATTATTCATGGTTCTTCCAAGCCCAATATATCTGATTACAACTTCCAGATTGAATACCAGAAAAAATTCCATTAACTGTTAATAATTCCACAAATATTTTGTCAAAAAGTAATTGTATGCTATGTTTAATTTCTCAGTTATATTAAACTGCATCTGATACTACATTATATAATACAATAGTACCTTGCTCTCAACATGAAAATAACTGGTTAATTTTACTCATGAATTTTTTTCAATTGTATGAAATGCTTAATATTATTAAACATCAACAGATTGTAGCTTAACAGATTCTTTGCACTTAAAGTAAATTTGATAGTAAGCTTGTAACAAAACTGAGTGCTGATTAACAGTGATAATGAACACTCAACAAAGGTGGAAAGAAATTGCATGCTGTTCTAATGAGGTAAAATTATTTCTTCATTGCAATTAAATTCATATGTTAAACTTTAGTAAAAATTTAATTTTTTTGGACAATACAATGTTACTGTTTTAGGTAACTTTGTACCTATCTTCTGTTTATTTTGTGGGATTTTGAGTTGTTTCTTAAGTAAAAATTTTCTTTTTATTACATATTCTATATACATAATTGCTTGTTTGAAAATTTTTATGTAGTTTGTGAAATAGAAAATTAAAAAATAGAAAAATCATTTGTTTCTATTTTCAGTGTTTGAAAAGTACACAACATAAATTAAAATAAAAATCCAAGTTCAGTAAAAATTTAACTTTCACATTACTTTCTTGTTTCGATTATCTGTTATTATAAAGTGGAAAAGAAACTGAAGAACACATTTGAACATTGAAGATGAATTATTACCAATTTTATGTGTACATTTCGTTAAGTAACTTCTCACAAAATAAAGACTTGCTGAGTTTAGCTTGTGTGTATTTCATAGATACTCTAAAGAATATATTTTTCATCTATGATATAAAGGTTGGTGGAAAATTATTTGTGAAATCATTTTCACCACGGTAACACATCTGTGCAGACATGTTGTTATCATCTTATTACAATATATTTTTTGTTCTATATATAAGCAGTCTACCAACTTATGGAACATCAAACTATTATCATTTGATATATTACTGTTAATATTTTGAAAGGTAAGAACACAAATCTATCAAAGCAACAAATGTATATAACATTTTCTTCAAATATTATGAGTACAGCAATTACAGTACGAGAATTAGAAATGTAATTGTTGAAACATACTATCATGTGATAAACATTTTATATGCAGTAGTTTAAATGCACTTAATTATATAAAGTTCTGTTTTAGATAACATCCATGGTATATGACATGGTAATAGACGAGAGAAGTTTCTACACTACAAAAGTATATACGTTGGGGATATCTTTTTCTGGAATCTTAATAACTAAAATCAGAACATAACTGGCAACAGGTCAGAGAAATTCTTTAAGATAAACTCTTAAAATTTCAAGCCAGATTAAATCTATGGCAGTACTTGAAGCCAACAGCTAGTGTTTGTATGTTCCATAAGTAAGGTATACTCTATTATTTATTTATTTATTGTTACTTACATTAACAGTATATGTTAAAATGTTTAAAATATCTAATTGTATTATTATTATTATTAATTTTTATTATTATACTTTTATTATAGAGATTGCTTTGCATTATTTATATGTATTTAGGATTAATTAAATCTCCTGAGCTTGCCAAATCTCATCAGATATTATTGGGTTTACAACCTAAAATATTGTTAACAGTGAGGGTACCCAACTGATGAAACAATGCATTCTAATCTGTATAAGTAAGAACATAAGTTAATATTAATTATGAACTAAATTTGTGTCTCATATCAACTGTGATATGTATTGTTTTAGCTTATAATAATATCTTATAACTTTTGCATTACAACATTAAATGTGCTATGATTTGATAATGGTAATAACGTCTTCAAATATATTATTGATATTAGAAAAACACGTAGGTTCAAGAAGTCTCAATAGAAATGAATAAAAACCCTATAACCCGAGCACTTTGAAAGTGAACCTTTCTTCTTCAGGGGCAAACTGGGAATGGCGATGTAATCGAATGAGTGATATATATAAAAATAGCCATTAAACACAATATTCTGTCAACATAAAATTTTCTCAAAAACCCGGCCCTAAATTAAAATCATTACTAACCACAAATTATTTAGAATCACACAATACCAACGTCATTCACAAATAACATGCAATAACTGCCAAGTACTCTACATCGGAGAAATAGGAAGAAAATTGGAAACCAGATTCACAGAACACAATAAAAAAACCGTCCCATGTTTTCCACCATTGCAACTCAAAAAACCATAGCATATCTATTGAAAACACAGTAATTTTAAACAAACTTAAACAAACGAAAAATCAAGGAATCTGTCTTAATTGAACAAAACAACCCTACTCTAAACCAAC